GTATTTAGGAGGAAAACTGTCAAATCACTAAATAATTACAAAATCTAAGTTGTAATAGATTCGATCAAATTCAATCACAATGTAGTCACATGTTAGTTAGATGAAAAATAAAAAGAAAAGGAAATCACTAAATAGAAGATCCAGGCTCTCACTGGTATACAAGGATGGTTTTCCCTAAAGTTGTCCGGCAATACTCAACTCAACAATTAACATTCAACCAACTCAAAAAAATTTCAAGTTCTTGAAATTTCAACAATAGATTATTTATAAGTTTAGGAGATGAAGTGATTTTTTGGCTTACTAAACTTTTTTAATATTATTTCAAAGACTAAAAGATGCCAAATGAGTGGAGGAGTGCATTGGTTCATATTTTTAAGAATAAATGTAATGCACATGAGTGTGCGAATTATAGATGAATTAAGTTGATGTGTCATACATTAAAACTATATGATAGAGTTGCTAAGCATAGGTTATGACGTGATACTAATGTTTCTCAAAATCAATTTGAATTCATGCTGAGTAGGTCTACTATGGAAGCTTTACGTTTATTAATAGGTTTGATGGGGAAATATAGAGAGAATAAGGAGGATTTGCATATGATATTTATTGATTTAGAGAAAGCTTATGATAAAGTTTCAAGAAAAGTACTATGGAGAGATCTAGAAAATAAATGAGTTAATAATGCTTATATTCAAGTCATTAAGAATTGTTACTTGTGTTCAAACACATGGTGGTTTGACCAAGTATTTTCCTATTTTGGTTGGATTTCATCAAGGATCAACTTTAAGGTCACATCTTTTTGCTTTAGTTATGGATGTTCTTACTAGACCATTGTAAGAGGATATACCCAGGTGTATGCTTTTTGCTAGTGATATTCTTCTTGTTGATAAGACTAGAGTGGAAGTTGAAGGAAAATTTGAATTATGAAGGTCGACCTTAGAGTCTAAAGGTTTTCGTTTGAGTAGATCTAAACCAGAATACATGGAGTGTAATTTTAGTAGTAATAGATTTAGTGGGGGATTGTGACTTTGGGTGATCTAGTCATTAAAAAAAGTACATATTTTAGATTTATCGGATCTATTGTTTAAAGTGATGGTGAAATGGATAGAGATATTATTAGTAGTATTCAACTTGGATGGTTGAAGTGGAGGAATGTATTAAGCCTATTGTGTGATAGAAAAGTACTCAAACTTATTGGAAAATTCTACAAGATGGTGGTAAGACCTGCAATGCTTTATGACAAAAATTGTTGGCTATTAAAAAAGAAGCATAAAATTGAGTGTTGCATAGATGAGGATGCTCCAGTGGATGAGTGGCTTTACTCTTAGAGATAGATGTGAAACGAGTATATGCATGAAAAAGGTGGGGTTCCTCCATTGGCAGATAAGATTAGAGAGAGTTGCCTTGGATTGTTTGGTGACATTACATGCCGGCCTTCTGATGACTCGGTTAAGAGAGTAGATGTATTAAATTTGACCGATAAGAAATGTAGAGGTAGGCATAAAATGACTTGGTTATAAAGTATTAGAAATGATTTTTTTTATTAGATTTAAATGAGAAGCGACTCTTAATATGACAAAATGGAAAAAAAAAAAATCCATGTAGCCGACTTGTTGTCTTACCCATCCCTTCTCATATTCATCAGAAGTTTTCTTATATCCTAAAAGAAAATTCTATAATAGATATTATACCAAAAATTACTTGACTAGATTGAAAGTTAAGCAAAGTCCCAAATCTTGGTACATTGCAAAAAATTAGAACATTATTTGCTACAATGACAAAATCAGAGCTGACAAGGAATCACAAGAAAGGAAACAAAGGATTCAACTGCATCAATTTAGGCTACAAAAAAAGAACAATTTAAAGAAAGCAACATGCAAAACTCAAAACTCTTAGTGATTTAGGTAAAAAAAAAAAGTTGATATTTGCCAATCAGATCTAAGCATAATTTTTAAGTTTATTATAAAGTTATTTATGAGTGATTATTAGTAGGTTTTTTATATCTCACTAATGCACGAGATTCCATTGATTTCCACTATCATTGGTGGACATAATCTCATTTTCCAGGTTACCTTTTGGAATAATATAAGTAGAACTATCTAGTTAAAGTATTGGATGCCAATTCATGGGAGATAGAAAGAGAATAATTTAGTGCATTGATAATTGTTTACTATAATAAAGTCAAAAAAGACATTGATGATTGGATTAAATCTGAAAGAATTTTTAATTTATAAGCATTCTTTCCAATGCAATGTATGATTTTACGTAACCCTATTTTTCTTATGCTTAATACCTTTGTTTTAAATAAGAGTATTTTAGGAATATACGTCTTTTTTCTTGAATTTTTTTATAAAATTTAATTTCCTATTCACATGATCAACAACACAACTTGTAAGATCTCAATTCTCTCATGTTGCATGTGAAGTTGGTTGTCGTACATGAGAAAATAAGTTAAATAGAAAAATTAGATTTGTAATATTTTCAAGATGCGTATTATTAAAATATCCTGATTTTTAATTTTATCCATTAACTTTAGCTTCAATTTTTGTCACCTTTTATTGAAGGAGTATTTTGGCTCCTATTTAAGGAACCTATGGACTAAATCTGACTTTTCTATTGTCTGGGATTAAAATTTGAGCTCACAAATAGTTAATGGACTGTTTTGATATTTTTCTTAATTTTAAAAATAAATTAATTTATTTTTAAAAATAAAGGGCACTTAAAAATATCAAGTGAAAATTTTTTTAAATAAAAAAAAAAACATAAATGATCCCAAATAGGCCTTAAGATGAAGAATAAACTTGATCACCTTAATATGGCATGATATGTTTTTTTCCCTTGAAACAATAACCATAATAATTTTCGTTGAGCCATAAAGCTCATTAGTATAAACAATTTTAATGTATAGTTCAAAATTCATAGAAAAAATATGTATGTTGACCATTTATACTGACATGAGTATTAATAATCATGTATATAACTAGCTTAGTGCAATGAGCATCTAAACAATATATGTTCTAACAATTGAACAAGTAAAGGACAGAGTCATAAATAATAAGCATGAATGTCTATAAAGGAATTAAATTTTGCTACTAAGTATTCAACCACTTAACGCATTATGTTAATCATATGCTAGCATCAACATATTAATTTTACTTTCATATTTCTATTCTCATTCTTATTGTCATTGTTTTAGAAGTATTCTATAATGGTTATCTAGGTTTTGGTACATTTATAATTCATATGGTCATTACATGACTCATCAGCCAATAATAATTGCGGATAATGTCAGACTTGCTCAACATAGCATTTATCAAATGATCCTTTGAAAAAGATTGGACAACTCCAATATAACTTTTATCTAGAGTCAAGAACCCCTTGTAGCCTCCAACACTTTAGCCAATAACTGCTGCTCATATCCATGCACACATACACATATACACACATATCTATATATATTATAAATGCATATAGAATTTTATAAAAACTTTTCATATAACTTTTTGAGATCTGTGCAAATTGGGAATAAATTTTTGTGTGGTAGACTTTTGATGTTTTTATTATAGAATAAGGATGCTTATGATTGGTGCTTCGTTTCACTAGATTCCTAAAGAAAATGCTTTTAACAACACTATGTCAATAAACACAGCAACACATATGAAGAATTCACATTTAACCATCACACACAAATTTGAGAGGAAAACTAGAATTTTAGCAAGCAATATGCATTTTTACATGTCTCATATTTGACAAATAGAAAGTAAATCCTGCAACTGATACTCTAACAAACGTCACAAATACCAATTTTAGTAAATCTTAAATTTCTTCGGCGCCTAGTTGAAGATCAACAAAGTGCCGAATCTAACTATAGTGTAAAATTCAGTGAAAATAGGTTTCAGGATCTCTTGATATAGTGCCAGAATTGGAGCCAATAATAAATCACTTAAAACAAGAAACAAATGATATAAAGCATCAATTTTGACTACAGTAAATTAACAATCTAAAAGAAGCAATAGGTGTAAGTTATGTCTCCTAACAGTTCAACTAAAATGCAAACAATCATAAGTTATCGGTGGGTTGGAGATTCTACGTAAATAGAATTCCAAGCTTCGTACGGATACAAGGAGAAGGCTTTCTCAAAAGTTGTCATTCAACACTTACATCACTCATAGAATATACATCCAACTAACACATACAAATTTGAGAGAAAATTAGGATTTCAGTAAACAGTAGTGGTTTTTTACATGCCTTGACAACCCATTTTAAAATCATAAAAAGATCCAAAATTGGCAGATTTCCTTTATCCCTGAAATAAATAAATTCCTTGATGAATACTATACCAGAATGGCGTGTGCTGCTTGTCATTCCATAACTTTAACTTTTCTACATCGATGACAAGAACAGAAGAATTCTGTTTTATAAAGTTATCATTTATTCAAAGCCATGCTATATGGTTTTCTAACTATTTTGTTTAGCCATTGGCACTACACTGTAATATGATCATAACAATCAAGTCTGGAGTAGAGTACCAATTATTCTTTCTTCTAGAATAAGTTGCACCGGCTGCTTTACCCAACCATCCATTGTTTTAGATATGAACAGCAAAAGGTTATACTACTATAAGCGGGTGGGGGATGTCACCACTCATGATTTATTATATTACTTGTCGGATATAGTGATTTATCTAACTTTGAATACAGAAAGCTTGTTGATGGCTTTAATATGTAACTGCAGACCAATTATTTTTCAGCCTCTTTCATTTAGCTTCAAGAATACAAAAGATAAGCTTATAAGAAAACTCTAACCTGATGTCAGACCTCTTCAATTTCTGGCTCCCATTATTGTAATAGCAGTGTTCTTTCTATAGCGTTCAATGTAATGTAATGAAACTGCAACTAGAACGGTCATTTCTCATCTTTATATATTTTCTAAGTCATAAATTCATAAAATAGACTGGCAAACTCATTCGCGAGTTTATTCACATCTTTGTTTATTTACAGTGGTGAGAAAGTTCAAGATATCAATTGGCCTGCCCATCTAGAAATTAAAGGAAAAGTACGATTGCCAGCATTTGAAAAATTTATTCAGGAGCTTCCTCGTTCTAGGAACCGAGCATTGATGGTAAGATGCTTCACCAATAATACTTTTGGAATGCATATGCGGTTGATTTATCTGAATTCTCTAATAATGATAGTTGCGAGTTTCATGGTGTTTTTGGTAAGCATCAGATGAAATTGATTAGAATTATTTCTATGCTGACTGAATACAGCCTTACAAATTCCTTTCATCCCCTCATGTTTTTTAAAACAAAATTTAGAGTTCATGAATTAAACCATGTTGACATTGTGCTACAATATAAGCTTACCATGTTGCCGACCTTAGTATGACGTTGTAACCTATTGTAGAACCTAATACAAGAAACAACTAACCAGGATGTAAACTATACAGAGACTTTGCAAAGATATCGTAGTGAGGCAAGAGCTTCTGTAGTTGAGATTTCATTTTTACTAAATTGGTATACATATTTCTCTCCGCATCATCTACCTTTGAAGGAATCTAAATTTGCTTTTTCAATAAAATATTATTCCCAAGATATTCTCACGACAACACAATCATTTTTGGAAGTAACTGATTAATACTAATAAAAGCGTTGAACAAGAAGGTAATTTTTATCAAACTTTGGCTTCAACTTTGATGTTGTTGTCTCAAACTAATTATATTCAGCTCAATTTAGTGGCAGTAATCATTCGTTGAAGTTAATAATAGGTATGAGGCCACTAAGACCACGGGATATTACAATATGCATCAAATGTATCTCAATAACAAGTATGGTTATGCAAGGTCTGGATAATATGTTCAACTCAAAAAAGTGTAACTAGGCACCATGTTACATTTTTGCATTCTGCGATACTGACAACTAATTGAATAATACTTAGCAGGATGAAATAACAATATGGTAAAATTAGTGTAATTATCTTCAAAATGTTCACAGAATTTTCAATCTTTCTTCATTAACATCTTAATATTGCTAATAGACCTAAGAACCATTCTCCTAATTGTCAATCTAAAACCTTTTTAGCAGGGTTGAAATTTTAGCTTCAATATTTTTGATTTGTGTGGGGATTTTGAGCTGGGCTTGGTTCAGATTAAGTTGGCTGATGATTGGTTTTAAATATAAATATTATTTTATTTAATATTTTATAATCACACATATATAAAAATGTGTATATAAATGCAACAACAACATCAAGCTTTTATTCCATTACGCAGGGTTGGCTAATCATTTTTCTCCATTGTGTCATGTTAAGGAACAATTATTAGGTCCTCCGACTGGACGTAGAGCTACGTTCAGTCGGAGCTAAAATCGTGCCAAAAAACGAGAAATACAGAGTAAATACCAAGCAATACCAAACAATAACGAGGAATACCATCATGTGAAGACCCAATACCGAGTTATACTGAGCTATACCGAGCAATACCGAGTTATACAAAAAAATACCGAGTTTTTTCTAGGTATTTTTTTTTTCTAACTCGGTATTGCTCGGTATAGCTCAGTATCACTCGGTATTGGTTTTCACAGAGCGGTATTCCTCGTTATTACCAAATAGTACCTAGCAATACCGAGCAAATACCGAGTTTTTTGGCGGGATTTTAGTGCCGACCGGACGTTCCTCTACGTCTGGTCGGAGGACCTAATAATTGTTCCATGTTAAGAGTCAAATTCTCATTTAAATCTAATTAAAAACATCATTTCTATATTTTCTAACAAAATCTTTTTAGGTATACCTCTACCTTTCTTAACATTGGTCAAATCTAATACATTTATTCTTCTAATCGGGTCATCGGAAGGCCGACGTTTTATGCTACCAAACCATCTAAGGAGACTCTCTATAATCTTATTTCCATTGGAGCTACTCCAACCATTTCACTTATATATATGTTTTGCATTTCATCTCTAAGAGTGAAGCCACTCATCCATTTGACCATCCTCACCTCTACAACACAAACTTATTTTTATACTTCTCTTTTAATAGCCAACAATTTGTTCCCGAAAGCATTGCAGGTCTCAGCACCATTTTATAGAATTTTCTCTTAAGTTTGAGGGGTACTTTTCTGTCACACAACATGCCTGATACATTTCTCCACTTCAATCATACAACTTGAATTCTACTAATTATATTCCCATTTATTTCACCATCACTTTGAATGATAGACTTGGGATTTCTAAAACGTGTACTCTTTTTATAGATTTGATTGCCCAAAGTCACAATCCCCCCACTATATCTATTAGTACTAAAATTATACTCCATGTATTTTGTTTTAGATCTACTCAAACGAAAATCTTTAGACTCTAAGGTTGACCTCCATAATTCAAGTTTTATTTCAACTCACTCTCCAGTTTTGTCAACAAGAAGAATATCATCAGCAAAAAACATACACTATAGCACATTCTCTTACAAATGTCTAGTAAGAAGATCCATGACTAAAGCAAAAAGGTATGGATTTAAAGTTGATTCTTAATGTAATCCAATTGAAATAGGAAAATACTTGGTTAAATCTCCTTGTGTTTGAACACAATTAATAACTTTTGCATATATATCCTTAATGACTTGAATATAAGCTTTATTAACTCATTTCTTTTCTAGAACTCTCCAAAGCACTTCTCCTGGAACTTTATCTTTTACTTTCTCTAAATCAATAAATATCATATGTAGATCCTCCTCATTCTCTTTATACTTCTCCATCAAACCTCTTAATAAATGTGTAGCTTCTATAGTATACCTACGTGGCATGAATCCAAATTGATTTTGATAAGCATTAATATCACATTGTAATTTATGCTCAATAACTCTCCCTTATTTTTAATTTATGACACATTAACTTAATTTCTCTATAATTCACACACTCTTGTGCATCATTTTTATTCTTAAAAATAGGAATCAACACACTCTTTTTCTACCCATATATTTTTTTTAGTCTTCAAAATAATATTTACAAGTTTCATAAGAAAACAATTCCTTCTCTCCTGAGCATTTCCACTCATTCATTGGAATATCATCAGGTCCAATAGCCTTTTAACACTTCATTGTTTTAGAGTCCTCTCTAACTTTGGTTTTGCTAAGATGATGATAAAAATAAAAAAAATTTATTTTTATTTAGGGTACTATGGTCATTAAAGTTAATCATATTCTCACAATTTTTATTGAAAACTTAATGAATATCTTCTTGTTATAGAAATATTTTTTGATGGTCATCCTTAATGCACTTCACTTGAACTAAATCCTTCTCTAATATCTTTATTTGGCTAACTTATATACCTTTCGCCCTTCTTAGTATCTATTTCTTTCTTTTTTTTTTCGCCCTTCTTAGTATCTAATATATTGTATAATTATTAAAAGCTAAATTCTTTGCGTCGCATATTACTTACTCCTTACCAAGTGGTTTAAAATTGTGCAATTTGGTATTGAGGCATTATTAGTTCGTGAGGCGAGGCATAAGCCTCAAAATTAAAAAAATGCTTAAAGTGAAAATAAATGTCAAAACTGATTTTTTCTATAATATCTAAATAATATTTTAAAAGATGAAATATTAATTTTCTATTGAACTATGATGTAATAAATTGACATACATATAAAATAAAAAAAATGCATAAGATGCAAAGTGACAAGTGATACATTGCGTGAAATAAAATTGAAATTCAAATATTACAAGAGAAAAATAATATTAAATATAAGAATTACATAATAATATTATATGTAACATCAAGTTTAACTCTAAATTTTGTTCTCAGTTTCTTACTCATCCACATTTAATTCCTAAAGAAAATTGAAATAATTGGCAATAACTCAGAAATCATCTACACTGCCATCACTGAAGAGGTTTTTATTTGATTCGTCGTCATAACAAATTGGTCTCTCAATGGTCTCATCCTATAGAGTCCAATGCCTCCCAATCTTCTTATGATTCATTTATTTCAATCATATTTATCTTTCATAAATTTTTGTCATCAACATAAAGATGAGATTAATTTTTCAAAATTTTTAGTGGAGGAGGTGGTGTTCATTTTTTAATTGATCCACAACAGTGGCTATTACGGTGGTGGCTACGGCGAAGGCGGTGGGTTGGCGATCGGGGCAGTCGAGGGGAAGTTGTTATGGCTCAAGGATGCATGAAGGCGTGATTTGCTTTGGACTTTGGTTTAGGATTTAGGTAACTTTTAATAAAAAAATATATAACTAGGGTGAGGCATATGCCTCACGCTAGCAAGGCGAGGTGCGTCTCATGGTGAGCCTCATAAAGAAAGCTTAAGGCATAAGCATCAAGGCATTTTTCACTAGAATTATGCTGAGGCGAGCCTCATATTATACAATTTTAAACAATGCTCCTAATAGGCCCCTTTATATCTTTCCTATTTTTGAGCTTTTATATATTGTGGGATCCGAAAATTCGCTCTCTGGCCTCTCCGTGGATCCCTTTTCTTCCTTTCTTTTGGGTCGTCGAGGAGAGTTTTAATGATTAAGTTCTGAGGCAAATTTTTAGAAGGCATATTAGGTTGTGAATAAGACATCGCCCAAAGATTTCACCCTCATTTTATGAGAATTTTATGATATGAGTTCAGGTTTCCTATAGGCGCAAGCCCTTATAGTTAATTATCCCTCCCGATAGTAGGAGAAAACTTTTGATTAAGGCTAGTCATCAAATAAATACATAGTATTTGACACATAGTAGTAGCATAGTTTTGGGCATTTAAACATTTGATATTTAAAATTAGAAATTCGCCATCTTGCACTTAAAGTGGATGGTGGGGGAAGTGATGATGGACCCGATCAAGATCTCATGGTTTCGTCATCCCGGTTCATTATGGTCCCTAGTCTACTTAGTTAGAGGAGGTAGTCGACCCAACTTGATAGAAAGATCCTTGTTGGGAGCCATGGGTTGCTTCGTTCAAGAGTATCTTGTAGACATGGGGTGAATATTTTGTCTAAGGGGACAAATTTGAATCCACCTTAACTAACGGAGGACTTTTTGCCCTATCAATTATATCCTATTGATTCATATCTCAAGAATTTGATTCTATTGGGGAGCATACGGGCTCTAACCATGATCGTAATTTAGTTGTG